GTTTTATAAGAAACTTCACAAAAATCTAAACAAAATTATGTCACAATGACAATCATAAGCGAGCGTGCATATGTTTACCAACCAAATATGTGGCAGCACTTTCAATCATGTCAAAATTACATTCGGTAATTCGCCATTGCTGGGACCAGTAATCGCTCTTTAGACCTTTCGTTTGGGCTGAATTTGTTTTTACGGCTATTCAAAAAAGCACTATTGAAAAAATAGAATAATCAAAATCGGGTGGGATTTGATGAGTATACAGGTCTTTTGACACAAAAATATTTTTCCCACCATGCGCCAATGGAAAACACGCCCAGATAAGACACACTAAAAAGGAAAATCAAGCGGTCGGAAAGAAAATTTCTTTATGTTCTTTTAGTTCACAAGATCTCAAGAGTCTGCAGTGTAGATTTAAACTACCACATAGTTCATGAAATTTCATTTCTGTTTTTTTCTTTCGTTTGAAAGGAATTATAGAAAAAAATGTAGCAAAGCGAAGAAAATTTTAGTATTTAAACAGTCAGGAAAAATTAATCAATTTTGCTTACATCTTAGCGAGACGGCAACACTAGACACAGCTGAAAATTAGAAAATAAGAACAAGAATCTTAACGTCGCTTGAACGAAAATATTTGAATTTACAGAAAACAGAATAAATTGATTTTTATTAATTTGAATCGGCATCCCAACAATGCATTTTTTCACGCATACAAAGTCCATTAAATACTCCAATAAAAATTTGGTGCTTTTTTCGAGAAAAACGCGATTCTTTATGGATTTTAGTGCTTTTTCAAATACAAAGCGTGGCAACACTGCTTCTGAGTTTTATTTTTAATGGTGTACCTAAGGCATGGGTGGATTTTTGTAAACTTAGTACTATTTTTGTATCTAATTTGATTGGTTTCAGAAAAATCCAATTTGTTTGTTTACAAAAAGCTCAATCATATGCTTTAAGATCATATGTTAAGGATAATTCTTGCAATGTAAAATTTCCAATAAGATAATTTAGGTAGGTCTTCTTAAGTAAAGCCATTCTAAGGGGCCTGCCCAAGAAGGGCTGAAAAAAGTGCTTCCTTGCATGCCTTCTAGAAGCGCTTAATAATAATAATAGATTGGCGCTTACACATATGTTAGTGCTTGGCCGAGCTTCTCCTCCGATTTGTGGCGTGCGCCTTGATGTTGTCACACAAAGAGGAGGGACCTACAGTTTAACGCCGACTCCGAACGGCGATTGTATTTTTATGAGAAGCTGTTTTCCATGGCAGAAATACACTCGGAGGTTTGCCATTGCCTGCCGAGGGACGACCGCTGTTAAGAAAAAACCTTTTTTCTATTTTTTTTCGATGTTGCTTTTACCAGGGGTTGAACCCAGGCGCAGCGGAGTGGAAGCGCGCACTGCTTACCACTACACCACAGCGGCCGCTTATCCATTCATAATTTACGCGAATGCATAAATTTACAGTGACGAGCAAAACTGTAACATGATGTAACACTTTTTATTTCAGCCACCGCTATCTTTCATAGTTCTAACGACTTTCACACTTTTGCTCTATATTCTTATTGGTACATCCCTACTCCCGCTCTCATAACGATTTGAGGTCAATCCAACAACAATAAAAAAACCTGGAGACAAAAATGAAAGTTAAGGCAAATGTTACAGTTTTGCACTCATTCTCAGTTTTGCATTTTACAGTTATCTTTTGCTTAGTTGGAAGTCAGATGACTTTTTTCTGTATTGTAATTTATTCAAGAAGTGATCACCAATAAATAATATGGTTAATCAGGAAACATAAATGTAAATAATAGATTTACTGCGACAAGGCGGGACCGTAGGGAAAGTGGCAAAAAAATGTGGAGTTTGCCACATGAAAATGTTAAGACTGAGAAAAAATATAGCCTAAAGTGTTACTAAGGACAAAGGAAGTCTGTCAAAATATATTACAGTCCGATATCTTGTGAACTTAGTAGCAAGTAACGCTGCAGGCACTACTACAGAAGCGCTTAAGGTATTAAAATTGAATGCAAATCAGTAGATAGTGAGGCGAAAAGTTGCCAAATTGAGCAAAATGGATCATAAAAGAAGAAAAAAGCAAATTTGATCAAAATACATGTGCGAGTGGGGCAGCGTTTTGCTGCATCGCGCGAAAACCGGACCGTTGCCTATTGGGATATGTTAGGCCTTACATAACGCAATAAAAAACACATTTTTAAGATTTAATTGAGGCTTATGTGGTCTGACAAGACTAAATTAATAGCTTTTAAGCAGATGGCCGGGCATGGTATTGGAACAAAGGCCCAAATTAAGCCTAAGCGCATCATGTAAGGCAAACTGTGAATCACAGTGGTCGGTCAATATTAGTTTGGGGTTGTATTTCAAAAATGTTGTTGATCCGTTTGTACGTATTATGCGCAAGGAACAGTATCTGTTCATATTTCAACAAAATTTGCAAGATGTAGTCGAAAAAATTAGAGTTTCTGCTGAAAAAGCAACCAAAACACACTGCACATGTTCGCAAAGACTGGAACAAAAGCAGAAATTTGCTAATTTGAAATGACCTCCACAATCCGAGGACATGAATCTCATCGAGAATTTGCGAAATCAACTAAAAGCGCATCTTACTAAGTATCCAAGTCCGTCCAATGGAGTACGTGAGCTGTGAAAGCAAACCAAGGATATATGGGAGGCTATACCTCCAGAATTTTTACAGACATGCACATTAGGTATGCCAAATTGCAACCAGAAACTAAATAAAGCAAAACCATACCGAACATTGTGTTAATAATTCTTTTTTTTTGTGAAAATTGTCAAAAAGTTATTAAAAATACATGAGTGCAAAACTGTAACATATGCCTTAATTTACATTTTTGTCTGCTGGTTTCTTTAATGTTGTTGAATTGACTTCAAATCGTTATGACCGAGGAAGCAAAGATGTACCAATAAAAATACAGAACAACAGTATGAATGTCGTTAGAACTTGGAAAGATAGCGACAGCTGAAAGAAAAGGTGTTACTCCATGTTACAGTTTTGCTCGTCACTGTATATTTAGCTTTACAAACGAATTTCAATAAACATTTTAAGTTACAATATATATAACACATATTTGATTAAACCTTAAACAAATACTTCAAAGATGTATCGTACATCTTATAAATTAAAGAAGCAACTTTAAAAGAACTCCTCCAAAAGGCCTTCTGAAGTTCGTCCTGTAAAAGCCCTTCTGGGTAGCGAAAGAAGAAGCCCTTCAATTCGTCCATACAAAAAAGAAAGCAGAAAGGAATGTAGAGTGGAAGGCCTCTTGACTCTCAGGAAGGCCTTTCGGAAGGGCTTTTCACTCCTGAAATTATCTACTGGGCATCCGCATCGAAATATGGACTTTGCTTTCTCAATTTTTGATTGCTGGCTGTCGTTATTGAATAATGTTTTGTAATAATTTGTAACAATTCTTACAAATAATCCCAAATTATTGCGTTGTCATGCATGACTATACAAGATACTTATATTGCATATCTCTGGAAGTATTTGTGGTAGAGTCCTGGAACTTTGTATGGATATATGTATATGAAGTCAATCTCAAGCTCATGAAAAAATATGAGTTTATTGGAAAATTCGGCGTGCCACCGTAGAACTAGGAATAGAGGTAAATGAAATCAATCCCAAACCTATGAAAAATGGGGGTATATGAAAACAATCTCGTAGCCGTTGAAAAGAGCTAGCGGTATAAGCCAAATAAACTAAAATTCTGGTGACGCATAAATACCTCTGGAAGCATTTACCTAGAATACTGAGATAAGGTATTTTTCCAACGAAAATATGTACAGAAAAACGGGCGCCACACCTTCTGGAAAGTAACATGATCACAGGGTGTATCCCGAGAATCATTTTAAGCTAAACCTTCAGGCATTACATTCTTGCCAAGACCCATAGGCATAAGCTGAAATTGCGTCGCAAGTTTTATGATCGGCTTGGGTAAGGTTTAACCACTTAACCCCCTTTGTTTTCGTCGCTACTGAATTCTATAAACTGTCAGCTTTCACACAATTTAACAGCCCTATTCCGCCACACTGACAAAACTCACCGCGATGACAATTGATATAAAAATGACAATTGCAGCTTTTTGGTATTCGCAGCAAAATTCAAAAGCTCGAATCATGCCAATTGTCATTTTTATTGTCATGACCTTTTGGGCAGGTGACAAGGCAAAAACATATGTTTGTGTTGGTTTAAAAAGTGCGACGATTTAATAAATTTGTGAAAAAAATATAAAAATCAACTAATTTCAATGGCAGCACAAATTTTAGTTATTTGCGCAGCCGTGCTTGTGGAAGACGAGCAGCAACGGATGCTCCCTACAAAACTGCACATAAAATTGCAGCTGCTCCTGCGTCGTCCGCTCATATTTTGCACGTCTAAAATGTTTATAAATGTTATAAATATACGAATTTATGTATTTCACACAAATACTCACTTTTCTGGTGTTTCACCGCTCATATTTTTTGCAAATAATAGCGTTGACCAGCTGTTTCTACAACAATGAACTTTTCACCATGCATGGTAAGTTGACAAAAGCTTTTCGCTTGTCATTTTTTGTTAGGAATAGCAACGTGCAACGACAATGACAAAATCACGACAATGAAGGATGATCAATTGTCATTCTATTGCAAAACCGGAATAGGGCTGTAAGATATACATGTGTATTTAAAAATGTCATGAAAATTGTGTTGCTAGCTTCATGTTGCAAAAATGTTTCAAGGAAATGTTGTGGAATTTCACACTTATTTCTTATTAAGCTATGCTTAAGAACAAAATATTTTTAAATCGACAAAACATTAATAAGAAAATTTGAAGGATTTTAGATATTGGGTATGGTAGCACGAAATGTCACAATCTGCTTAATTGTCAGGTTGTTAATATGGCGACGAAAAAGTGACAATGGAACTACCTTGTTTTTTGTATCATGTGTATGTCCATATTAAATTTTTAAAAACTAATTTTTTCACAGATGCCAACTAAACTCGGCTCAATCTCGTCCAGAACACCAACAACAACAGCAACTCCACCAAGTACCCGGCGTTTCCCGACGATAACACGTAATCCACATCTGACAACAAGCAACACAACACCAACTAGCACTTCGGTCGTTAACACCACGGTCACATCTGATACGATAACAACACGCTCGGCTGTCACCATATCAACTGCACCGAAGCGAATGACGCGGGCCTCTGCTGCTGCCAAAGTGATAGTGATAACGCAGAATAATGAAGGCGATAATACTGCATTGGACGAATGTATACTGCCGGATGGTAATAACAGTACGGAAATTAAACGTGAAAAGGTTGATGATGATTTTGTTGGTGGTAATTAGAAATTAATATTCAGAAAAAGAATAGTAAAGTAAAAAAAAAATTTATTATTTATAAGCTAACAACGACTCTTGTCTGACCTATTGGGCAGCAATGGAGTATTGTTTTACATAGGTTATAAACATTCATTCAATAAGCATTCTTTGATAAGTTCATCAATTGGATTACTTTTAGATATTTTGTAAACAGGCGTTAGCTATTCACACATTGCAAAACATTTAATTTGCCTTAAAAATAACATACAACGGAATATGTATAAAAACATTCACAAGATAGCACTATACATAATGAATTATTCATTATTTCTTATGTAGTAAATCACAAAATTTGACAAAACCCATGTATGCTTTTAAAAATCGTGTACAACAGCAATACATTGCAAAAAAAAACTATGTAAAAAACATATATGTGCGGCTAACATTTTATGGAAAAGGTGAAATTAAGAATTCTTGAATTCGATCAAATTACAACAATGTTATGCAAGTTAACGCAGTAAATGTATAAGATTTCACAATTTGAATAAATTAAAAGCAAAGTGAAATATACTTTTTAAAATTACTTTGTGTATATGTAATCAAAATACAATAAATGTTTTCTTTTCGTATTCATCAAGTACATATTATGTATGTAAGTGCGTTTAAAATTTGGGGAATTTCATGCTTGTACTATAAATTCACATGCGCTCAAGGCACATTAAACAGGTAGTATCAGTAGAGCAAAAACAACATTTGCGTGTATTTTGTTGTTGTTTCTCGTATCGAAAGTGTCAAAAACTGTTCTGAATTTTTTCTTCTAAATCAAAGCGTGCCCATGTGAAATACAAAAAATTATAAAAAATAAAAAATTGAAATAGGAAAAAATAAAAATTTATGCAACTTTCTTTCCTAGTAAATTTGTTTGCTTCTCGAAGCATTGATCCATCCTTTGCAAGGCCCAGTAATCAGCGGTCGTGCTGCTGAGTTGGGCGAACGTTCCAAAAGCTGCTATTCAATCGCTTGTTTTGTATGGAAAAAGGTTTCACATGCAAATGGATTTTAACAATTCAGAATTTTTGTGAGAAAAAATTAAAAATATTTGACGTTTTCGAGACCAAATAATTTGAAAATAAATCAAATCAGCTGCTCTACTGATACTACCTGTTCAATGTACCTTGCATGCGCTGATATATATAAATACGTAACTTTGGTTACAAGTTTTTTAAGGCAAGTGCCTTTTTCAACCTCTAAATGATCTTCGAACTTCAACTCGTCCTGGGCTACTAAAATTTATTAAAAGGTTTTTTTTGGAAAACGAAAAAATGTGAATCACCAAGTCGGAGATGCCCTATCTTTTGGTGTAACTGCTACTTAGCCCTGGGCTCGAATCGTAACTGTCGTGAACGAGCAACTCTTCTCGTAATTCAGTATACGAGACGAGCGGTACGTTCACGTCTGTTATAATCCGAAATATGCACTTTTACGCGACGAGTTGCTCGTTGACGACTGTTACGATTCGTGCACTGCTTAGAATCGGATCAACGGCAGAGAGGCGTTGGTTGAGTGTAACGAAAGTGAGTAACAAAGTCCCATATGCCGCTACAGCACAAATTTTTAAATTTTTGTGTATTTTTCCAGCACTTAAAATCGATTTTTTTTTAGATTTTTAGAATGGAGGCGTAAGTCTCATGCATTGTGCCTTCACATACGGGAGGGACCATACGCAGTTTACTTCCGGCGCGAGACTGGATAGGTTTAACCTGCTGCACTATCCAGCAGCCGGATTCCTACATTTGCTATCGCCAATTTTGATCGTCAAAAATTTACAAAAGAATAGCAGACGCCCCTAACAATACGCAATATCTAGTTAAATGCCCGCCACTCTGCCAGATTTGGCTGATTAAGCATCGCATGTGTTACGTCTTCCATGTTGTATACTTTTAGGGCTTACTGCTTTTCATCTAGAGCAGCCCTGGGCGGCGCCTGCCCGGCGGGCATATTCGCGTATACATACACGCTCTGCTTTAGAATGCAGCAAAAACTGCATTCAACCGCACGACTTGTTCGCACGCACACAGTGACATTAATTGCACGCACACTACAAAAATTCTCTGTCGAAGCTGCCCACCTCTGATCTAGAAAATGCTCGAGGCTGCCGAAGCATTTCCGCTGTAATGTCTGGTAGTGGTTTAACTTCGATGCCGGCATTTATAGGACGAGAGATAGTGAAGGTGGTATTAGTCCTATGAAGGTCGTTGAATGCATATCTCTACAGCGTCGGGTAGATTGGTTGTCACATGTAGTCCTGAATCTCGTCCTTCAGTCCATATATCTATATGCCGTCTGAAGTTCTGCTTTCAATAATTGCCCTCTTTGGGCGCTTAAGCAGGGGCTGTTTTCGGGATTATTTATGTACCCTTGATAGGAACATCTGCAGTCGGAATGTCATCCCAAAAATATTTGGGTTGGTCACTATCGTAAATGGTACACCATGGATGCAAACGTCTAGCTGCAGCCTAGCCCCTTTCTCCCATATCGTAAAAATGGTTGCGGTGGAGTTCGTGGGGTGGGGGGAGAGTTAAGCTCCTTATTTAACTTTTCTGGATTTCGAGGTTTGATGTCGAACGGTTACTGTCGATTGCTGACCACTCAGGTAATTGGCAGTCGGACACTTTAGAGTCCTTGCTGGGGGAAGAAGCTCCAATGTACTGGTGGTGTGGAGTGACAGGCGGTACCATACACCTTTCATTCATAGGACAGCTGGTTTTACTACCGGAATGACTTGTTAGACGACTCGATATTCTGTATAATTCGAACTATGCTAACGTTAGCATCTGACCATCTGCCCATAACAGTCTCCTGCTGCTTTTGTTTCCATGGAGCACCGAACCTACATATACTTTAACAAAGCTTATTGGAACTGCATTGCTGAAGTTACCGAGAGTACCTTCCCACATCAACCGATGTTGATGTAGGCGAACGTAAACACCGCAAAGTTATCAAAGCCAATAGTCTCTACGAAATATGCATGCTGATGCTGAAAAATTTGGTCTAGAGGGAGTAGAGTACCTAACCAAGGTCCTCAAAAGTCAATGTCCGCTCTCATCATTCCCGACATCTGAAAAACAGAGAGACCGAGGAAACCGACCAACAAAAGATAGTCTTATCGCCCAATAACTCCCTTTCCCCGGTGGCGAACACTTTTGAGGCCTTGCTACTCCGGCACTACACGTACCATCAGACCCCAGCGTGACATCAACATGGTTTCCGTAAAGTGCACAGCACTTAACGCAATAAACACTCAACCGCAATTATCAATAGAGTACATAACCGCAACAAAGCCCTCAAGCCGCTGGCCGGAAGCACCTGAGGCAAAGGCAAGGAAATGTTGTAGGCAATATACAAGGCAATCGGCCGGTCGGTTCTAAACTATGCTGCGCCCATGTGATCGCCGGGGACTAGCAGGACGCATTAGATACAGTTGCAAAGCTGCCAAAACCTGCACTTCGAACAGTCACAGGATGCCTTCTGATGTCGCCAGAACATAACCTGCATTACGACACCGAAATGCTTCCCGCCAGGGAGCACAATACCTTGCTATGCAAACAGTTCTTAGTAGAGGCCACAAATGTCGGCACCTGAACAGACATATGCTTGCTGCAGAGACCTCCCCAAGGCGCGTCAGAAGGCATCTTCACGCACTAACAGACGAGGTCCAAAGGTTCATAAAACAACCACTAGACCCGACAACGTACCGACAAACCATAAACAGCATTCACGCATTCACAGGGAGTCGGTCTGAACTCACACCATCTCCCGACCTATGAATGCCGTTTGACGAACACAACTA